CCCTAATTATCAATAAAACTAGCTGTGATCATTTCTTGAATGTCTTGAATGCCAGGCCCTTTACACACACCACCTGGGATTTAAAAGTTCTGTCTCATGGATTCTGAGTATTTTGTATTATTTTGTTTCCAAAGATCCAATTACAGCCTCTGAGACACCAAAAGCTTTTCCTTATTGCCTTGGTCTTATTTTTCTAGTAGTTACTGGGATTATATGTTGAACATTTAGAGATATAAATGTAGGTAAGGTTTTGTTGTTGTTGTTGTGGTGGTGGTGGTGGTGGTGGTGGTGGTGGTGTGTGTGTGTGTGTGTGTGTGTGTGTGTGTGTGTGTGTGTGTGTGTGTTTACCAATAAAATCAAGCTGTATTATCTTAGGCTTTTATCTTTACAGAAAAGTGTTCTATGAATATAAGGTTAGTCAAACATTCAGTATGTCCTTAGAGTGAGTCACATTTTGTCAATAAAAAGTCTGGGAGATTCCTGGGATTCCCCTTGCACCAGGTTTCTACCTGACCTGAAATGTGCTCCTATCAAGACATCTCTTTCATTACTCACACCCTCTACCCCTCCCCCAACCCAATCCCTATGTTCCCATCCCTACCCACACCCAGTTTACTCAGGAGATCTCTTCCTTTCCAGGGAAACCCACGAGTCTGTGCTTGGGCCCTCCTTCTTACCAAGACTCTCTGGGGCTGTGGGTTGTAACATGGTTCTCCTTTACTTTATAGCTAATATCCACTTAGAGTGAGTACATACCGTGTTTGTCTTTCTGGGATGATTTTTTTTTCCTCTAGTTCCATCTACAAGGATGACCCCAGCTAAGACTCCTAGAAATAGTGGATGGGTAGCCTAAGCTAGTCATCTCCTGGAATCAGATTTGTGAGTACTCTAATTATCAGCAGAGAGCATTCATCCAGTAACCGATGGAAGCAGTTGCAGAGAGCCACAGCCAAGCACTGGGCCAAGCTCTGGGAATCCTTTTGAAGAGAGGGAGGAGGGATTGATTGTACAAGCCAGGGGGTCAGGTTCATCACAAGAGAACCCACAGAGACAACAAGCCTGAGTTCATAGGAGCTCACAGACACCGAAGGGAACCACCTACCCCTTTACATACGTGTGACAGTTGTATAGCGTGGTCTACTTGTGGGACTCCTAGCAGTGGGAACAGGGCCTCTCTGTGATGCTTTGGCAGGCATCTGGGAGCCTGTCCCTCATACTGGGTTACCTTACCAAGGGTTAGTATGAGGGGAAGAGCTTAGTCCTACCTCATCTTAATATGCCATGCTTTGTTGATACCCATGGGAGGCCTGCCTCTTTCTGAACAGAAACAGAGGAGTGGATCTAAACATTTGGGGGGCGGTGGGCATGGCAGAGGGAAGGTGAAGGGGGGAGAAACTGAAGTCGGGACATAAAGTAAATGAATGGATTTAATCTTTTAAAAATGACTTGATGAATATTATTAACAAGAACAGATTTCAGGTAGAACTTTCTAACATCAAATGCAGAGAGTCCGTAACTATAGTTTTTTTCTTAGACATCTTGCTTTTGATTGCTCTGAGTTACCAATTTACTAGTGTCTATATGGTTACATAGTTCGTATTTCAAGAATGAGACTATCACTTGTAAAATAGTCAAATAGCAAAGCATGTTCCTGAACTTGTCCTGAAGATACTGGTTTTTTGTTTTATTGCTTCCTACTCTCCCCATTCAGGTAACATTATAAAGGAAGGGGTATTTAAAATAATTTAAATGATACTCTCCCCACCAATCCATTGTAGTGGTAAACATTGAATCTCTAGATTCTGAGACTGTCAAGTTCATGAAACAGTATTACCAGCACATTCCTTTGAACACATACTCGGTGCAGGATGGTGCCTATCTCACCTTGCCATGGCATTCCAGCCTTCTTGGTTATACCCCTTAGTATTTTTTAACAATTCTTTCAGTTTAGGCCACAGAGGGGCCTTGAAATGAATTGAGTCTGGGCTGAGTTGATGCTCCAGTAAGTTTAAACTTCATAAGAAACCTTTTTAAATATTTTAAAGAGACTGGTAATAGGAATTACTGCCGAGAGAATAATGGTTCCTTTTTTAATAATTTATTTATTGTTTGATAATTTCAGACATGTATACAATGTGCTTTGTTCTGATCCATTCCCTTCTTTCCCTTTTCTCCCTTACCCACTCCCATGACTTTTCCCTCCCAACTTCACATGCTCTCTTGTTCTTTTATTAAGATCACTAAGTCTACTTAGTACAACCTGTACATGCAGGCATGTAGGACAGTCCCCTGGAGCATGGGTAGCGCCTCCGGGGCTGAATCCCTGAGGAAAACTGACTCTGCCCTCCCCTTCACCCTTCAGGTGCCAAAAGCTCCTCAGCTAGGTGGGACCCCATGCACTTCTCCCTATCTTCAAGGCAGGGATTTCAGCTGGCTTGATCTTGTGCAGATCCTATGCATGCTGCCTCAGCTACCGTGACTTCCTATTGCAACAGCTCTGTCATGTCCAGCAAGTACTTTTCCACTGCCTGTGACTCTTTCTATCATCTCTTTCTCAGTGATCTCTGAATCTTGTGGGGGTGGGGGTAGGGGACATCCCATTTAGAGCTGGGCACTCCACCAAGCACTCCACAGTCTCTTCTTGTCTTCATATTAAGCAGTTGTGGATTTCTGTATTAATCACCCGATAAGGGCTGAGAGATGTGCTAGTATATGGAATGAAGATAAGAATTTTTGCTAGGGCGTGATGGCACGTGTCTTTAATCCCAGCACTTGGAAGGCAGAGGCAGGTGAATCTCTGTGAGTTCAAGGCTAGCTTGGTCTACAGAGCAAGTTCCAGGACAGCCAGGACTACACAGAGAAACCCTGTCTTGAGAAACAAAAAATAATTAAAAAATAGAAAAAAGGTAATAAAATAAAAAATAATTTAGGGGGCTATGTCCATTTAGCAGAATAATAGTATCATTTTCTTCTCTACAGCATATGGCCCAGACAGCCATGAGTTTTAGCCCCATGGACAGTATCATGCATGACTTCTATCATATGGAACAAGCTTTGAATCCATTCACAAAGTATTGATTACTCCTATAATATTGGTGTCACCAGTGGGTGTATCTGGCAGACCTGTCATTGAAGTTCACAGGGTTCATGGCTGGTTAAGACTATTGATGGCACTTCTCCCTGACAGCATGCATAGAAACTTTCAGCACTATGAATCTAGCCAGTAGGGAAGAACCTTCCAGGTTGGTACCAGCTTGATTACTCCATGTCCCATGATTCAAGTATATAGTGTCTTCAGCAATAGGGTCTTATTCTCAAATTCTAGAGGAAAAACAAGAGCAAAATGATGGGAGATGCCATTATGTATATATGTTTCTCATACTGGTTAATAATAAAGCACTGTTGGCCAATAGGAAAGGAAGATAGGAGGGACTAGGAGACAAGGAGGAAATAGGAAGTAGTAAGGAGGAGTCAAGATGGAGAGTCTGAAGAAAGCAGTATGCCGCCGGCTCCCCGGTAAGAGAAATACATAGATCAGCAGAAATGGGTTAATAATTAAGGCAGAGCTAGCCAATAAAAAACAAGTAACCGGGCCAACAACATTGTATCAAATACAGAGTCTCTGTGTATTATTTGGGGCTGGCGCGGTGGCAGGACAATACCAGGCGGCGGGCGGAAAAACTGTACTCTTTACAGCAAAAGCTACAGCCTATAATGTTTAGGACTTGGGAAGCTATGGAACTTCTCTTGCCAACAACTCAAAACTAAGTAAGCCATAACTAACACTGGGCTTTTTGTTTTGATAGTCTATTGTATATGGGATTGGCATATACAATTAATCATCTTTTATATATGAATGCATTCTAGGAAGCTTCTACAATAGTAGGTGCCCATATAGGCTTTACATTGATCTTAGTGTTACCTCTCACCATACTCCCTTTCTACCACTACACTCAAACTCCAGAGACTGTGAAGATACCTGAGCCTTGCTGCTCCCACATTGACTCTTGAAGTCCTTTACCCCATTTTGAAACTATTAGTAATCCACTCCTATAGGAAGTTGCATTTATAAATGTCCTCCCAACCTCACCTCCTCTCCAAGGGGTGGGGCAAATGGTAGTGGGCACATAAGAGTCATCCAGCTGGAAGCTGAATTAGGAATCTGAGACACACACACCCACCAGGTAGGGGTGTGGTTTGAGTGTTCTGCCACTCCCTAAGTATTCCCCCTGCCCTAGTGCCTGACCCCGCCCCTGCTTCTGTCCCTTCTTCCCATAGTGCTCTTCAGGACCCTAGTCATCTGTTCTGAGAACTCCTCAAACAGCACAAATACAGAGATAAAAAAAAAAAATAGTTCAGGGACCTTTCTTAGCAGCAAGAAGGCTGACAATAGATAGACATGCATGCATTTATAATATAGGAAAATCTGAGAGGAGACTATGGGTTCAGATGGGAGGAATCTTAAGGAGAATTTTCTCCTTTGAAGTGTGTACTAACTCCCTAGGGAGGACAAATGTGGCCCAGAATCATACTGTAGAATGTGTTTGACCCAGAATTGGTTAGAACTGAGTGTTTCACAGGTAAATGACAGTGTATGCTTTGTCGTTTAGGAATGTCTCTGGGCTGGAGTGGAAAATGAGTTAGGAAGGAAATAGAACTGAGACAGAGAAGATATTTCAGCGTGCCAGACTGTTGCATTGGAAAGGGAAAGGAGACAAGACTCCAGAGATGATGCTCACAGCTAGAAGCCATAGGATGTGCTCACAGATAACATGGGGAGAGGAAAAGGGAGTTTAAGGTGATGCATCCATCTGCATTCATGGTTACTGAGGACCCTTAAAACATCTCCAAGACGTATTAACAACACTGGATCTGATTCTAACTGCTTCCTGTCCCAAGGTCTGGCAACTGGGTAGAAGCAGTGTTCCCAGGATCAGCACTTGTTTAGCTGGCAGAAGGAGTCTTTCCCATTCTAATTCATACCCCTTGTTCTTCTCAAGTCATGTAACACAGACCACATCTTGGACCCATCCCATGATGAGCATCCTGAACCTGTCCTGCTCAGAGGAAAATGAAGAGGACTGTCCAGGAGAGCTAACAGACCAGAAAAGCTGATGGCTGCCCATGGAAATGGTGCTTCAGGGTCTTCCGGCTTTTCAGTCCAGGTGCACAATCAGACACAAGACACCACAGCCTGAGAAACAGGAATCCAGCACATTCTCCCAGGCAGGGTGTCAACCTGGAACTGTGATATTTCTATGTACATGTTAAAGATCACCTGCCACTACACAGTTCTTTCAAAATAATGTAGTTGCATTTGTTGAACTGATATATAATTAGATGCTATCTGCATCTAACTTTTCATATATAATTAGGTCTATACAACTTAGTATGTAGTTCATTGTTTGGTATTAGATGCAATGGGTTTTTAATACCAAAATTTTATATTGGAAAGGTACATGAACGTAGGGAACTACTTCTTTTCTGATAATCCCCCCCTCTCTAATCACAGTTTAGGAAAGTGATCTGAGAAAGCTTGGGGAGGGTGCTATATGGCTACCCCATTGGCTGCTGAGTACAACCTTTGTTTGTTTGTTTTTATCTGTAACTCATAGGACACACTCTAACTTACATGGATAGGAGACTTCTATCATTTATAAAATGCTTTCAGATTTCATCTTATTTAAACCAAACAGCATGGGGATAGATAGGCTTGATCTGTTGGCCATTTTCATTCAAGTCTTCAGCTGGAGGAACCAGTGCTTCAGAGAGACAGAGCGTCCTGACCCAGGGCTGAGATTCACACCTCATCTCCTGATTCCATGTCCAGTCCCCTTTGCCCTGCTCCCAGCTGTCCTCACAGAGGGAGGCTGCAGTCCAACAGGGCACCTTCATTCTGTTGATGCAGCTGGGTCCACAGCTGTGCATTCCACACAATCCAGAGGACACCTCCGAGTCAATCAAAGCCTCTTCTTAACCCCGCTCTCTCCTTCTGTGGGCCCACCCCGCATGACCCCTGGACACCCACCAACTGCCTCATGACTTTTCAGTGGGCTTTGTCCCACAGCTCATGCTTTCTGAAATGAAGGTGCTAGATCATGCCAGTGATTGCCATGCTTGGGTACCATTGCCAGTAGGAGCATCCTTAGAGAGATGATAGGAATGAAGGTATCTCTTAAAATACTGCCAGGCTGCTTGTAACAGAACGAAAGCCTAAAGCCAAGTAAAGCAGCCCAGCATCACTTAGGAAAGCCTAGCACTCCCAAGAACACAGTGTGAGAATCCTCACGAAAAGAAAGGCACTTTATAAATGAGTCACTGGGTTCCTACAGTCGGTTAACACCTATGTCAGCATAGTCCCTAGCTCCTAAGCTTTCTACTGAGTTTTACCTGAAGTGTGGCGTGTATATGGAGAATACATGTGAGCACTGTGTTCACGCATACCTCTCTGCATACGTGTAAGATTGGGGATTTAAGTTGAACACACTTAGGATTCCTACTTTGGGTCTTGAGGACAAACATAAAGTCAGTCAAGTACAGGCTGATAAGGAGTCATTAGCCCTGAGACAGAGAGTGGCTGGAGCAAATGTACCTCTCTCCCCACGGTTGTCTGGGTACTAGGAAACTTCGGAGGTGAATGAACACACACACTATTATCTATGTTGTGAAAGGTAGATTCCTATCAGGAGATCCCCCACCCCACCAGAGAGCTTCCTCCCTTGTTTGTAAAGGGAGCTAAGATGGGATCCTGAAGCATGCAGTCTGTAGTCCATGTGCTCGTGTGTGTGTGTGTGTGTGTGTGTGTGTGTGTGTGTGTGTGTGTGTGTGTGTGTGTCATTCACTACCTCTCTGCTGCATGTACCAGTTCCCTTCTATTTCTGTCAAATACATAATCAAAGAGATTATAAAGTTCAATGCTCTTCACTGAGCATTCTATACCACACATTGCAATGTACAATGAACATTATTAGCTCACTCTCTTCTTTTGGAAGGTCATCTTGAGGTAGGGTAGCTTCTCCCTGTGCAACCCCCTGCCTCAGCATCCCGAGCACTGGAATTTCTGTACCACGAAAGCTTCTTAAAGCCACCCATCAGTGTAGAAGCATAGCGATCTCCGTTTTGTGTAGAAGCCTAGGTTCAGAGAGAAGTGGTCATTGCACAAGCATCCCACCATGCCTGTGTGTTGATGCTAGACCTCCAGGCAAGCCTTTCATTCCAGGGTTTCTTTAAACCAGTGGGAAGAGCTGCTTGGATTCCGTCAGCTCTGCAAGGCCCCAGCACTCAGTCATGAGAGACTTCCTAGTTCACAGCAAACAATTCCCCAGGAGGAAATAGCATTCCAACAGGTTCTTGTATATCTTAGCTTCTCCTGGGAACATAGCTAAAGAGCAGCCTCTAAATTAGCTGAGTCAGGTGACCCCTCACTGAGATACCCTCTTTAGTCTCACAGTGTCCAGACCTGCAGGTAAGAGGGATGCTTGGAGAATCTCAGGAGGGCTCAGTAGGAATGCTTTTCTGGTGCAGAATTACTTTTTGGGAAGTAAATTAGCCCTATTGATGTGGTCATCCATCAGAAATGCTTCTCCACTGACTCACCCACTCAAATTCTGGGCTATATGAACTGAGTATGATTACATCCCTCCCGTTGTATGTTTTTGTGGCATTGGCCATCGGTTGTGGAGCACGTCTCACTTTCCTAGAGTGAAGAGGGAAGGTCTGGCTGCCCTCACTCATTTGTTCCCTCAGAATGCTCATTAGCCTCTAACAAAGTGACCAGCACTCTGGGTACCAGGGCAAAGTAGGGCAATAGTTAGCCATCTCTTGGGCTGTTTTAAAACAAAATTGATTTTGAAAGACAGAATTTAATAGTTACATTTTAACTTCTGAAGTCTTAAAAATAATTTCTTCTCCTTCCCCCCCCAAAAAAATATGAAAGTACTGTGGAAATAAATTGGGTTAAATAAATAGCCTGTCTCACTTTCTGGAAGCTGCCATCACCAATATTTAAATGAATATTTTCACTCAAGGGCAAGCATGGCCCCTTCAAAAGTTATTTCTGTTGTATTTCAAACATCTGCATGAGCTACCACCTCTAAGAATTTTCATTGTCTGTGTGTTCAGCAACTTATTAATGAAAGCATGGGCTATTTTAAGTTCCTTCCTGTAGCAGTGTCACACTGAGCGTTTATGTATTTATGTATTTCTTCAAGTGTCATTGCACTCAAATGATGCTATGTGTAGTGTGTAGACTTTTATAAGTGAGCCATTGTGACAGAGTACAGTCAACGTTTTGTCCCTAAAAGAAGAGCCTGCCCATCTCCATCTAAAGACAGGGGTTTTAATCATTCGGTTGTAGCGTCTCTTTAGCATCCTAGACTGGCTTGCTCTGTGTAGTAGAGGCTGGCAGTGAATAAGTTGGTGTTTCAAATACATAACTGCTCTCTTTGTTTTTCACTTTACATAGAATGATGATGGGGAGTCACTTCTAAATTAGTAGAGAGAACACTCTTATGCATACAATACAAGAGTCCCTGCTTCTCCATTGGTGGAACAGTGGCAATACTTCCTCATGCCCCCACAGTCCAACTCAGCACGCACCACCTAAGCACCTACTGGATGTCTGGCCATCCCAGATGTTAGGAGCATTCTGGATAGTACAGATTCCCAAAGTAAAGAGCTCAATTCCCTGATATTTCTACACACACACACACACACACACACACACACACACACACACACGCACGCACGCACGCACGCACACACACACCTGATTTTTTTTCTGTATAGGGTAAGAAGTTATGGATTTGTTTCCTTAAGAAATGTTTAAATTTGAGTAATTCTGGAAATTGCTGACCCCACCCCACCACCACCACCACCTTGGTTAGAAAAGAATAAGAAAGAACATGCTGGAAGAGGTTCTCCAATAACAAATGAAAGGCAGCTGTCAAAATAGAGAGTCAAATAGCACACTCATAAAGTGCTTACACAATCAGAAAATATTATCCTTTTTCTAGGGAGAAATGGGACATTTCTCTATGGTAAGCAAAATGTAATTTTTTGAAGGGTCAACACACTTGACATTTTTATGATACTTATGCAGAAAGAACTGAACAAACATTAATACAGCTTTCACCGTCTTGTGTATAATTTTCAAGATGGTGAAAAGCACAGAATATGCCTGTGGAATTTAAAGAATTAAACAGAATATGTCTGTGGAACATAACTTTAGAAATGGTATACCCTAGGTGTTTTAGCCATAACTGTTCACATATAATATCATTGTATCAATAAAAATTATTTTATAAATACTAAATGCTATGCCAAATTGCTTGTATTCCTCTATTCCTCTTCCCTCCAACCCCAATGTGTGTGTGTGTGTGTGTGTGTGTGTGTGTGTGTGTGTGTGTGTGTCTGTGTGTGTGAGCTCTCAAGTGCCTGTGGGGGGGAGATGTACATGAGCATGTTGAGACCAGAGGCGGACATTGAGTGTTGAGTGTTGTCTTCCTTGATCTAACTCCCCCTTAATTTTTCAAACCTTTGTCTCCCACTGAAGCTGGGATGGTAGATTTGGTTAGGTCAATGGCCAGTAAGCCTCAGGGATTCTCTTGTCTTTGTCTCCAGCATTGGGATTACAAACATGACTTACCTTTCCCGCATGGATTCCAGGAGATTAAACTTGCTACCTCTTGACTGAATATGTCATCTCCACAGGCCCTTCATCTGACCTTTTACCTTCTACCTCATATTACTTTTACAAATTTTAAGTTTGATTTTTATTCTTCCATGGCAGGTTGGACAATCAGATCAGTAGCTGTGTCAAAACCACCCCTGGGGAAAAAGATATGGTTTCTGCCGTTAGTTAAGAGCATATAATTGTTCATAACTGGACCGGAGTTGGGCTCCCAGCTCCATGAGGAGCATCTCACAACCACCTGTAACTCCAGCTCCAGAGAGATTGGATCCCTCTGGCCTCTGTGGGTATCTGCACTCACATGACAAGGCCATACTTATACATAATTAAAAGTAAAAAAAAAATCTTTATGAATAATATACCCTCCCTTGTTCCTATTCCCTCATCACCAAACTCCTCTCTTCCTCCCCACTGTCCCATGGTAATGAACAGTTTGTCATGATGTTGTTTTTTTGTCTCCTTTGGAAATGGAAGTAATGATGGGCCGAGCTCCATGGGGACAGGAACTTAGCCTATCTTATTCACCTTCAGAATGCAGCACAGTGCCTGCTACATAGTTGATGTTCAACACATGTTTGCTCAGTGTAATATAC